GAGATGGTAGTGAGGAAAAAAGATAAAATAGTATGTGTTTAATTCTTTTGTTTTGCAATCAGGTGAGACAATGGATAACATGCCTCTGGAAGCAGGTGACGATGCTGGAAAAGTAAAATGGGTTGACATCAGTGAAAAACTCAAGCTATATGCTAATCATAGCCATTTCATCAAACTTGTGGCTGAGAAACGAGGAGCCCACTGGATGGAAGAACCTGTCACTGATTGCCAAAAGTGATGGTTCTGGAAACCGAAACAAATTTTTGAAGGGAAAGACCATTCTACATCATTCAAAGAGAGAGAGGTCATCTTTTATATGTTCCCTTCATTGGTTTTCAGTACAAACAATAAACTTTTAAGGAAGCAGAAGTAGATATATAATGTTAAATCCATCAGACAGGAAAAATTCATATAAAATAGCATGTATATGTGCATGCTCCAGTTAAATTGCTGGCAGAATTTGAGTGCATCCACACATGGCCTTAATCAGAGTTTATGATAATCTTTTGTTTGGCGCACAGTTGTAAGTGGAGATGAACTTGACTAAAAATACACTTTTTTCTATATTGCCATCTTAGTTTGAGCAAGCTCTTAATATCTGCTCACTTACATGAAAGTGTTAGAATCTTAAATTGTACTGGTTCACAAGCTGGGAATTTAGCTGTGTTGTCTTACAGGCTGGCTTCAGGTTTAATATACTAGCTTATTTAAGCTGATGCTCTGAAAGACAAATAGGAGGCATGTTTGCATTTCTCTCGCCCATGGGCTAGTATAGCTCCATTGCCATTGATGAAAGTACTCTTCATTTAGACTGGGTAAGCAGATATAAGATCAGAATTTGACTCCTCTCCTGGGGAGTGGAAATTTTAAAGGAATTCACTTTTTAGGTTGAAAGGAGCTATCAGTATGTAGTTGTCCAAACCTTGTGACACACTGGGTAACATAGGGGATTTTCTAGAACATCAAGGGCAGTAATCAATGTGTATATAAATTATAACTTGGAATAAAATGCACATAATCAGAATATTTGCTTGCAGTCATGTCTTCCTTGAATAGACGTATGCACACATGCATAGGTTTGCATGTATGTACATGTGCCTGGGTTAACCAACAAATCAAAAACACTGCAGTTGAAATGCTTGTCTTTTCCCACTATCACAGCACAAAAGTGGCTATGAGGCTACTTTTTAACCTCTTTTGGTGACTTTGTAAATCCACTACTTTTTTCGCAGGTGTGTGGCGAGACCTGTTTTTAATGCTTCATAGACCACTCCTGATTAGCGAATGCCATGTCTTAATTATACTATCCTTGTATCCCTCCCAGTACCATTTCAGTTCTTATCCATTCTTGGGTAAGATTCTATCAGCAGTTAACTTGAACTGTCCTTGCCTTTGTAAGAAGTGGTCTGAAATGTTCTCACGTATGTTTTCATCAAGCAAACAAGCCACATTGCTGTTTTCAGGGAAAAGCAAGGATAAGTTACCAGCATTTTATTTTTTATTTTCCACAAATCTGGCTGACTAATATCTCTTACATGCTGATACTCTGCATTGCTTTTTTCAGTTTGCTTTCATATTCTCACATTTTTAAACTTCATAAACTTACTACATTAAAACACAACTGAGGCTACTATTTCTTAAAAGTTTCCAAATATCTCTTCATGTGAAAAGTGTTTGGAAGGCATCCTCACACTTGATTTTTTTGAAACAAAGCAAAGATCCTGCCATGTACAACTAGTGTTGAACTTAACCAATTTCCAATGTAGTACAAAAACATCTGAAAGGGCTCACTTGTTAAACACCAGAGAGAAGGTTAGGGAGCTGAAAATATATTTCAATGAGTTATACATGTCCTGCAGCTATATCATTGACACTAAGGCACTGAGAGCCACAGGAAAAAAATATATGAGCAGTATAAAGGATGTAGTTAAACTGGGGCCTTTTTTGCAGGCTTGTGAAGGTTGTCCAATGGAAAGCATATTTATGCTCTCCAAAATGGGAACCTGAATTGTGATCTTAGTTGCAGTACAACATACATGGAGGGAGGAACCTTAGAAGAGCCACTGAAGCAGTTAAAAAAATAAAAAAATAAAAAAAATTGACATTTTGGTAGCTTTTGCCAATACGTGGTAATATTTTGGATATTAATTCCATTATCTTTGAAACCATCATTCTTAGAAGCATGAAGGTCCATTCTTTAAACTCATTTTAAAGTTGTTGCTTGCACCTTTATGGTCTTAATGTTTTCACGCATACCTAATGGTATGAAAAAGGCCTCCAATTCAGAGTATTAAATAGAAAATGGACTAACATGGTTTTCCTAAGTGCTTGTACTTCAGTTAACTTGTGACCAGAAATGGATCCAAGATTTTATGAAGCGGGGTGCAGTTGCAGTGACCGGTGCTGCAGGGGTGGTTGCAACCCCTAGAGTCTAGCCTTCTCCCCTCCCCTGCACAGGAGGGTGGACAGACCACGCCACAGGAGCAGCAGTTAGGGACTTAGGTCCCAAAGAATGTAAGAATTCTCCCCCTCCCTTCTTTTCTGGGCTCCTCTCTGCCCTCTCCCATGTCTGCCACTGATGGTGTCCCCACTGTCAGCACTGTCCTAGGAGCAAAGGGAGCTCCTGTCCTGCTCCAGCTGGGTTATGCAAGAGCTGGGCTCAACTTGGGATGGCAGCGACAGCTGTGTTCCCCTTCTCTATGTCTGCTCCTGGGCTGGTGGGGAACACCTGGGAGGAGCAGGCCCCTACCCACTTGTGACTATAGAACACATGTGTGCACACCTGTACATACATACGGACACACGAGAGAAAATGAATTCCCATCACAAATTTGGGTATGTTGGGGAAGGAAACAATTTTAGCGCACAAAAAATTTTCTGCCTTTTTCTTATGTATATTTTTCTCTTCACATCTTTTAGGTTTCAAAAGGAAAATTGCTTTAAAGTCCATTATAGATGCAGAATACAATTAAATTTGCTTCAATTAAGAATATATACACAAAAATCTAGTTTTATTTCCTTTCTTGTCATCATTTACTCAATCATTTAAACAAAGTGAATTGTTCAGAATGCAGTGGCCTGTAGTTCAAGAAAATGTTTCAGAATGTCTTCTCTTTCAACATTGCTCTAACAACAAGACAAATATCAGTGTAATGAAGCATGGCAGTATTTTTATTAGAAATTTTTGTTTTTGTACAGTAAATGCTATACAGTAATTCCCAGTAGAGGGCATATTACCTGAAGAAAGGTGCTTTATGCCCAAAAGCTTGTCCAGCATCTCTTCCAATTATACAATTGGTCCAATAAAAACCTTTGTTTCTTGGTTTTAATATGTATGTTTTTAAGTTTTATGTAAGCCTTTGCGTTATCCTTTGTGTGGGCATGTATCTGCTGCATTTGCTATCTCCTCTCAGGGTCTCGTCTGCCATGACTTTGAAGATGGTAAAAAAAATAGTTAGATGCTAACCCCTGAGGGGCTAAAACACCATAGGCCACCCAAGAGTTGGTTAACAAGGTGTGAAGTTATTGCATTTGGCAACAGTTGCTAATCGCTGCTCCCAATTGCCTAATTAACTAGGAAGCGGGAAAGACACTGCTTCACCCTGATCACCGTCTCTTCACTGCTGCCTGCCCTTTGGGGTTACTTGGCTGCTGGGCTTCCCTGGGAGTGATCCCCTGGCCCCAGTGAGTCCTGCTGGTCCCCCACCATCCACTCCTCATCGGGTAAGTATTCCCCAGCTCATCCCGTCTTGGACCCGGCCCTCGTTTGCTGGGGTTTTTTCTCACTGCTCTGCTGCTTCCCATGGCTCCTCCCTCCTTCCCGGTGCCCTGAGGGCAGAGTCCCAGTCCTTCTGTCCTGCCTTTTGAGCACGGCAGCACCTTCATTACCCTAATGTTTCCCTGGTGCACTAACCCTCCACCGCTGTGGTCCTGGTTCCTCTGGCTGTCTGGGGTCCAGGTCTCCTTAGTAACAGGACTTCGGCTTGAGCCCCTGTTACACTTTGCGTACATGGAGAAGATCTGGGGTATAGGAAGGAAGCTTTGGTTTGGACTGTACAGGTCGGAGCAATTATGGGCAACTAAGAGACTAGATGATGCCCAAAGTTTTTCATCTCATGGGCCACATCCAGATGTGCAGGCATGTGTGGTTTGTGGTGCTACAAGCATCTTTGTGGCACTGCAAACCTCATGTGGCAAACATTAAAACATGCCCCATGCTGCAAATTTGGTATTGGGAGTTCCCAATTGCAAAAAAACCCAAAAACAAAAAACTGAAGTAAAAACATTGCAACATGTGCCCAACACACAGAGGCTAGGCCATCCAGAGCAATGCTCTGGCTGCTGACCAAGCTTCCGTGCTGCCTCACCTGTGCCCCTGCTGCTCCAGGCCACTAAGTAAGACTGCTGGGGCCAGCACTGGTGCTGGCCCCAGCCTCCAGCTCTTTCTGGCACATGCAGAGGAGTGTGCTGCGGCAATTTATGCCACTGCAAGCACATGCCCCTGCTCTGTGCCATAATGTGAGGGAGAGGTGGGTGGGGGGCAAGCAGGGCAACTGCCTTGGGCACCAAAGTAAAGGAGTGCCAACAGGTGCTGCCCTGCTGGGGCAGGGCATAGGACAGAGCCACAAGCAGCTTGTTTGTGGGGGTGGTGGGAAGGATGGCTTCTGCCGCTGTGTGTCCCCCCCAGATCTGTGTGTGGGGTGAGGGTGGGCTTTGCCCTGGGCACCAAACTTCATTGCTGCAGTATTCCCCCTTCATGTCTGGGCGTGACTATGGGGATTACTTGAGACCATTACCTTACTGTACATTGCACATAATTAAGTTATTTCTTGTATCATCTTGAATGCTTCCCTTCTCTCCTTGGTATTTACATTGTTCAGATTCTAGTGCCTTGGTTCTCCTCACAGTTTTGCCTTAGGTTTTAAGGCAGTAGACTGAGCCAGGGAATTTGGATAGCCCCCTGGAGCACTCACCTCCCTGAGAAGGGAAAAGCAGGGGTATAGGTAGCCCCCTCAACCAGCTCGTCAACCCTTCACTCCCAGTTCATTCTGTGATGCACCCAAGCCTGTTACGTTACAAGGAATTGAATTAAATTAATGAATGGCTTGGGAGGAAAATGTTCTTTAAAAGCCATGAAAGCTCTGGGAGCCCCCAAAACCAAGGAACCTAGAACCAGGGATCTAGGCTGCCCTTTGACCCTCTTCCCACACACCTGGGCACCCCAGTCGGGTATCACCATGCAGTTTTTGATAAAGCGCAGGAATGTTCTTTGTGGAACACAGTGCTAGTGAGAAGGGAAGGGATCAGAAAATAGCATTTGAGGGCAATTGCTTTCTTCTTTCTCTTCCTTGGCATCCAGCCAATTCCATGCTCAGGGAATAATGGGTAAACTGGAGTCCTTGCCCCTGTGTATTCACTACCACCACCCTAGTGGTGGTTTTACAGTACTGCAGTGCTTAGAAGGTGCTTGTTCCCCTTACAACCCTTGGCAGTGCATGTGCAAACACATCTGAACCAGGACAATTGTGAACCAGTTCCCAATCAGTGACATTTTTATAATGATTAAAATGTTGTCTGCCCACACCTTTTTGTATTTTTTCAAAATCAGTTTCTTTATGCTCATATGGACTAGGCTGTTACATACGTTTCTTCTGCTCATATGTACTAGGCTGTACTAGGCCATATGTACTAGGCCACATAAAATAAAGTAGTGAACAATTCTGACCTGGCAGGGAGATACGTTGGATATTCTAATAGGACTTTTTGTCTCTTTATATGCCTTTCTGTTATTAATAAAGTCTGTGCAGTGCTGATTATTAAGTGTTAAGTATGCTGATCAATAGTGCTGCAGAAATGGTGTTAAAAAGTCCAAGGACTATGAGGAAGTGAAAGTGGCTGACCTTCTTCAAGAAGAAAAACAAAACAAAAACAAAACAAGAGACAAAACCTCTACATTTTATTTTATTTATTTATTTATTTTAAGGACTCTAAAGACAGAATTTGTGGCTCTTAGTCCTTTAAGCTTACAAAAAACACTTTGTAATTACTTTGAACATTTCTCACCATGGTAGGTGTCAGTTTGGGATAGTTTTTAAGATCAATCATTTAAACAAAGTGAATTGGAATGAGAGATGTTAAAGTCAATGTTCAGTTTTTATTGTAAATTAAAAAGTTGCTGAATGTAAGGTTTGGAAAAGTAGAATTTTACAATGTGAAGAAGACAAATTTTAGATACATGTGTTCATGAACTGAAGGAATTTGATGCTTTTATCTCCAGAATCTCCAGTACACAATGATGTTAAAGATGAGTGAGAGACGATTATAAAAAGAGTTGCAAACTAGTTGGAAGGAACTAAGTTGTATGAAAGACATCTGTAAACCTTCCCACATCATCTGCAGAGTAGGAAAACTGAATTAGAATCTCAGGTAAGCCTGAACAGCTGCTGCAACTGTAGTTTATCATTATATACATGGTACAAGACTCATAATGTGAAGTCCTACCCCTTGCCATGTGGTAAACTATTGTAAATTACGTTCGTGTTTGAGCAAGAGCATAACTTGTGTCTGGCAGACAGCTACATAGCTCACAAAGATACTACACACAACATGAGAAGGTACTTCATATGAGAGCACAGTGCAATACTAGTATCTGTTCAGACAATCTGAATAAAGCTATTTATATTGCCATAAAGAGTGACCGGGGTTGGGATCGAGTGCCGCCACCTAACGTCCCATGCTGCCGCTGTTCTCCCTCTTTGCAGGGAGTGGGGTGGGGGAACTGAAGCCAGTGCTGCTGGCCTCAGCTCCCTCACTCCCCATCCAGTCCTCAGCACTGCTTGCAGGAAGCAGCGTGGGGTAGCCAAGGCTAGCGCTTCTGGCCTTGGCTCCCCCACTTCTGTCCAGTCTTTGGCACAGCTTCAGAATCATGGTGGTGCTCCCCCACACTTGGAGCACTCTGATCGACCGTTTCAGTCAGCCAATCCGAGCATGAATAAAGCATTACCAACAGACAGACAGAGAGACTTAGGCTTTTATGATATTAGAATAATGGAAACAGCATGGCTTTTTATAAGATAAATATTTCAGAATATGCATTAAATTCTAAAACCAACATAAATAGGGATGATTATAAGCCGACTCAGAAGGTACAGTACTTACCAAGGGGAAAAGTACACCAGTTCTGTAGCCAGCATATTATTTCTATCAAAGAAAGTGACAAATATTTCTTTAATCAAAAATGGCACTTTTTACTAATCTTAAAATTACTGATACACTCTTCATACTGTTAAATAGACTTTAGTGAATGCATTTGCCATTTGTTTTACAGGAAGTTTTCCGATTAGGCTGGGGCCTCCTTTTTGTTTATACAATAACTTTATCAAGAGCCAGGCTCTCTCTATAGTCTACTAGACACTGTATGCCTTTTAAAGTCCTGATATGTGATTAGGCTTCTAGGAAATACTGTTACACAGATATTAAACACCAACTGTGAAACTTGGTATACCAGTTAGGCCAAACTTAGTGTTTTGAGGTTGTGATTGTGGTTGTTGGGGTTATTTTTGTAAAGCTATCCACATTACCTGCAGTGTGGTAAATTCATAATTCTAAATGAAGTCTAGTATTTATTCCACAGAATATAATATTGGAAAAGTTTTGGTATATGCCTGTATAATTGGAATGAATTAATGCTTTTCCTGCCTATAAGTAAGTCTGCCCTTCCCATACCCCTTTTTTTGAGATTTAACTTCCACTGAAAGAGTGGAGAATTTCTGTGATTTACTTTTACTTAACTATATTTAAAAATATGGGAAATGATCCTTTCTATAAAACCAAAGTAAGTCCTGTATCTGTTGTATAAGAACAGCTATACAATCACAGCTGTACATACAAAACATGGACTTACCCCAACTGGGAAACCCTGTAGTGGGAGGGGTGGGGGGAAAAAAGAGAGAGAGAGACATTTACAATAAGTTGGTTGATTTGTCAGACCCAAAAGTTGTTCCAAAATTATAGGCTCGAAATAAATTAAACGTTAACTAAATACAAGGAGAATATAAAAATTTCTTTGAAACCCATGTACATCAGCCTTGTTTGCATGGGAATCTGAAATTCGAATAGATTAGAAAGGATTATTTATTAATTGTACAGTCCAGGACAAACTGAAAAAGTAAACACTCATCACTAACAATAGAAAACATATGTGAACTTTAAAAGTATTTTATTAAAGATTTAGTTTCTACCTATAGAGAAGAAGTTCAATACACTTTTAACCTCGTGTACTTCATTTAATATGGAAAATAAGTTTAACTTGTTTAATGTACCACATTCTACATGTTGAGTGATATGCTCAAGTTATACCCCTTTTTCTTTCTTTCCATATTAAGCTATACAGTCATGATTGAGGGACTGCATTCTATAGGGTTTTCCAAAATGTATCCAGTGACACTGACTTTTCAGTACCTGATTTAATAGTCCAGCGTTTAATATTTTAAATTAATTGTTTTCAGAACTGCAGTTAAGCCTACAATCTAAAGTGATGTGTCCCTGAGTAAGGAGGACTTAGTCAACTTCTGCCACCTAATGTTCTGTATTTAAAATACAGGACTGCATGCCAGGAACTCGTGGTTTATAATCTGGCTTCTGATGCCGAGTTGCTGCATGGCCTTGGGCAAATCAATGTATTGCTCCATTTCCCTTTTTCAAACCTAGGAATACAAACAGTAGTCTGCCTTGTAGGTGTTGAGGGCTGATTATCTACTGTTTCTATAGTGGTTTATAGATCTAAAATTCTGCATGACCCTAATCCTGCAAACACACTGTGGGCATGTTTACACATGTGCTTTTCTATGGAGCTGACTAATTATCTCTGCAGTAAAGCATCACCATCTCCATGTGCACCAGTGTTAGGGTTCAGTAAATTAATTAACTCAGCTGTAGGATAGTACTGTCTGGGACAAGTACTATCCTACAGTGGAGTAGTTACATGTGCTGAAATGCATATGTAGACAGTGACTGGCTGATTGACAAGTGTGCTACAGTGAGGGGGCTGCTTGCCAGCTAACCCTTCACTGTAGCACTCATGCCCCAGCCAACCCCTCTACAGCACAATGAGCTGGGGTAGAGAACAGATCTGGGCTGGCAGGCTGACTCTTGCACCCCCTGCCAGCCAGGGCTGCTCCGCCTTGGCTGAATGTGCTGTGCTCCTGGACGCACATATAAGCGCTGCGCCTGGGAGCAATAAGCCCCAATGCAAATTGTGCCAGAGTTTATTGCTACATTCTAATTGCACATGTAGGTGTACCCTGTTAGATTTCCATTTTTTCATTTGGCATCATGTTGTATGCAAGGTCATTTTCCTGATTTTTATCCCACTTGAACCTGTTCCTTTTCTAGGAAAAAGAAATGTATTTTTAACATGTTAATTAACATGTGCTAAAATTGTAGTACAAACAAGACAGCTATAGTTTTAAGGTGATAGGTGGCCATAGTTCATCCCAGGCTTTCCACTTCATGCTGATAGCATGTTTAAAACTAACTTTTGTACATGGTACAGTTTTGACATGAATTATTTAACAGAAGTTTGCAACCAACTTTTTTTTTTGTAGTGCAGAAGTAGCCATTAAATTATTCAGTTTCATAGTCATTTAAGCATGTCCGTAACTTTATTCAATAAGTGTTTTCAAATTAAACTTTAAAATAATTGTTTGATATTTTTTCCTTTATATGTTTTTAAAATATTTAAAGCATCTAATAAAGTAGTTCTAATACAGAGCATCTAATACAGAGTAGTCTTAATTAGAAAATAAAGAACAGTAAGCACTGAGGGCTTTCTAACCGCTTTTGATTTTTTGGTTTTCTCCTGACATGCTAACTAATGCTGGCAAAGATCAATGAGCAAGAGGAGCATTACAGGGACTACATATAAGGGGTACAGAGGGATGGTACATCTATAGGGGCCCTTTCTTGCACAAATAACCCTGGTTATAGTATAATGTACAGAATCAACTGTAATTTATATGAATGGCCTTACCGGAAAGGAAGGACCAGGAGGAAAGGGAAATGGAAATGGTACAACCTGAAAAAAGGAGGGGGGTGGAAAATAGTTAATAGCAATTCTATAAATCAAGTTTCCCTAGTAGATTCTAAAACTCTTTTTTAAAAAGACATAAAGCCTTTTGAATTAATTGAATATCTTTTTGTTTTTATATTGTCAGAGAGGGTAAATAGAAAGGTCAAACCCAGATTCTTCAAAACCTTTGTTTTGTGTTCACTACATGCTTGAATGCACACCAGTGATAGCACAATTGCAGAGCTTCTACGATTCACTGCTGCAGAATTAGACCACAAATAACCAGTATACTAATGGTCATGGCTACCAAATGTGTAAGAAGACTGAAAATGTAAGACAAAGACCCATAAAAGTCTTCACCAATCAAAGCACAAGACAAATGGATTTGAGGCAGCAAAGTCCAAAATTATGATCCAAAAGACCCCTGGCTAAGCTGCCACCTAAAGCCAGAGGTACTTACACTCACTAAACACCTCCATGTTTAAACTTAAAAGTTCCCTAGATGCCCATGCCTTTTCCTTTTGCCCATGTGAGAACTATGGCATTCTAAGCAGCTCAAAACCTGTCTCATGTTCAGGCCCTGCTAAGATCTGGGAGCTACCTACCTCCAATCAGTAGGAATTTTCAGAGCATGCCTAAGAAATCCCAACAGGATTGGCTCTCTCTCAAATTGCAGTTGAAGCTACTTTCTCTTTAAAAAGAGATGGGGAAACTGAGGGGCTTTTAGTGCCTCCTTTCCATATAGAGTGACCCAGTGATTAGGCACTTGTGAGAGGTGAGAGATGTGGGTTTGAAACCCTGGAGGGTGAGGAAGTTTTAATCCCAGGTCTTCCCACTTCCTGGATGACTGCTGTAACTTAATGTATAAGGTGGGTACCACCACTACAACATCTACTTCTTCAGCAGCTGCATGTTAAAAAAAAAGAGAGAGAGAGAGACACACTGGTGAGCCTGCCTGCTGCCCTGCCTCAGGTGCCTAAATTCTTGAATGCGTGGCCATTTCCTATTGGCTAGGAGTTTTGGATTCTGTTCTGAGGTTTCCGACTCTTCCACTGCACTATATAAGGAACCTAAACTGCCTACCACAGTTTTCTGGATTCCATGCTGATTACATCTAACTTGAAAGCATTTCAGTTCTTTAATGGATGTATCTGGTACTTGAGAAATGCTACATTTGAAATGTAAGGTCCCGCTAGCTTTTTTTCCCCCAAAATATTTTTATTGCTTTTATGAATAAATGAGTTCAGTCCCTCTTCCCTTCATTTTCACTTTTTTTTTCCCCCTTCTGCTTTTAAAACTAAATTAAATTAAGGCCCTGATGCTGCTGATCTTGGTGATCCAAGTTCTCATAACAACAGGATATTTGCCAGTGTTTCAGAGCAGAATTCTTACTTTCATATTAGAAGCAGACCCTGGATTAAAATTCCACTGTCAGTATTTTGATGTAATATACTTGGTCACTGAAACTGGCATTACTGTGTCACCTCTTCTTCTCTGGCACTAAGAAAACTACATTTTTATTTCTGACGCTACCAACTGCATACTGTGGCACATTTTAGCAATGGAGGTGTAGAAAGGCAGATGAAGCACAAGCAACCCTTTGAAAGCTTCAGAGAAAGAAAGAGAGAAGGGTATGATTGTTGTAATACATAAATCAGATTGAATTTACCAGTCCTGTCAGATTAAAAGGAAAAGGGAAGCCCTAGGAAAGAGACAAATTTTAAAAAAAGTCAGTCAATTCTAATTCAGTATCTGTTCTCTTCATACATGCAACCACTGGATCCAACTCTTCAGTTGGTGCCATACGTGAAGACTCTTTTTTTTACCTATCCCCTGGGTGGTCATAAATCCCATTGCATGATTGGAGCATACCATAACAAATATACAATATATCTAAACTGCATTGACTCTGAAGAGACAATATATATACACAGGGCATAGTGAAGCATTAAAGAAAGAAAGATAATACAAAAAGTAGCACTTTTGTATAAAATTATAAGCATGGTTATAGTGTGTAACTTTATATTTTATATAAAAAAAAAAAATTCTAGGTTGAAAGTTCATTTAAGTTGCAAAGTTAAATTAATATTTCCCAGGCAAACTTAATTCAGCTTTCTTGCATGTAACTTTTATGAATGACCTTGTGTGTTCTGTGGGGAGTCAGACAAATGCAGCAATCTGATCCCTTTGGGTGCTTCCATATGTAGGGGTGTGCATTTGCTGTAGCACATATAGTGACACAAATTTGTGTCACTGCTTTGTGCATGCCCCTGCACATGGGGTTTGCTGCAGGGCAAAATACTTTGTTTTGGGGAAACTGCTGTTTCCCTACTTCTCCTGGTTTCCAGTGCACTGGAGTAGCCGAGGCACACCTAAAGCAGTGGAGACACTCTGGTTGGCAGCTAGAGCATCTCCTTGGAGGACCCAACCTCCAGTTGCTCTTGTGCATGCTCCTTGAACATGTGCCGTGCTGCCTTTTTTTTTTTTTTTTTTTTTTTTTTTAAGTATCAGGTGTTCCCAGTATCAAATTTTGGTACCGTGCTGCTAATTTGCAGCGCAGCGGATGGTTGCACATGCATCACGTGCAGTTTGTGGTGCCTCACAGTTTTGAGACTCTGCAAATTGCATGTGCGCGCTCATCTGGACACGCCCCTTGAGATTTAATACATACTTATTTTTTTTACAATGGGGGAGGCAGGCTTGTTAAACCCTTGATACCAGGAAGTCCTTGATACAAGGAAAAAAGGGAAACAGCAAAGTTAAATAAGTTTTTTCCCTTCACCATGTACAATTAGGCTGTATCTTTATCATGATTGTATATCATGGAGACAAAAAGGTTACAGAATTCACCTGTGACCTAAGCATTGCCTGTGTAAGTGTACAATAGGAGCATTCACAATCCTCTTAGAGTAAAAGACACTATACATGGAAGGAATATGGTGTAGAGAAAAAACTTACCGGAGATGGTGGAATATACAAATAGTTAGAAAACTGTGGGGGGAGGGGGGGAAAAAAAAAAAAAAAAAAAAAAAGATATTTCCTAAAGTGTTTCCACAAATATGTGATGCATGCTTAATTTTTTTTTGCTTTAGGTACAGTTGCAGAGCTAAAAGTAAAACACATTATAGGTGATTATCTTTCATATTACTGAAATCCATATAAATATTAATCTTGCAGTGTTTTTCTGTCAGTGTGAGCCTCTTCATTTTAGTGAGAGGCTTAAAAACAAACCAAAATAAAAATAAGGAAATATACATTACTGTAGTTATTGACTGCAAGTGAGAAGTCAGGAAACTCAAAGTCATCCTTCCCCCAATAATGATAACTCAGTTACGTTACTATTACATTAATGGTTCAACCAGATATGATAACATGGAATAATATGTCTACATCTATATACCTCTACCCCATAACTGTAACATCTGAGTATTTTGTATTCTTTAATTTGTTTACATTCCTTATCATAAGGGAAGTGGTCGTCTGGAAGCAAGAGTCTCTAGTCTAAGCATTTTGGCAAATATCTTGGATTTTGGCATAGGACCAGGTACTAGGGTGAGGGGGGAAAGGAGGATTTAAGTTCCATATGTGAGCCACTGATCTTGTGCTGACTTCTTTGAATCAGCAGTGCCATCTAGTGGAATGAGTGCTACAGTTACTGCAAACTTTTCAGAAGAAACTCCTATACTGTTTACATCTCGGTGTAACAGAGTAACGCTTGGCACATCCACATGAGTTGTTTATTTTGCAGTTGACTAATTAACTGCTCAGTAAACATCTTGGCATCTACTTGTGAACCCCTCTTAAGGTGCATGAAACTAATAAACTCCATGGCAGGGTAGGTAAAATACAAGTACTATCCTGCTGCACAGTTTTTTCATGCACAGCAGTGCATGTGTAGATTTTGCCTCAGCTAGCTGTGGCAGCACATGGAGACAGGTACAGCTAATGGGGCACAGGGGTGCTCAGTGCAGGGGCTGCTAGTCCTGTGCTGAGGCACTGTATGCCCTAGCCAGCTGCTCCTGGGCCTCAGCAGCTGCTCCCCTTGTCTCCATGTGCTGCCAAGTGACTGCGGGGCTTAGGTTGCCTCAGTGTGGGCCTGCCTGCTGGCTTGACCTAGTGCTGAAGCACCCCATGCCCCAACCAGCTGGGACAGTGTTTACACATGCATTGCTGCATAAGAAAAAAAATTCCAGAGCAATAAGCCCCAGAGTTTATTTGTGCATATTAGTCACATGTATAGATATGTCCACTAAGTAGATAGGTCTATTTATCAAATCAGAATCTGCCCCAGTATTTTAGCTGTCAAGAATTTTACAGGACATCTGGTCTTGTTTTTGCAAAATGCAAAGATTTCACAAAAATAGAGCATAATAATGTGAGATTTATTGTCAAGTTATCAAAAAGCGCTGTGTCTGGAATAACAGAGGGGCCTCTCAATTAATACCTTGTTCGTAACATGACAATCAGACAGGGCTCTCATATTATGCAGTATAATGATTGGAAACCAATTGTTTTTTTATTCTTGGAAGTTAGCTAGCAGCTGTTTTTCACATTCATCTTCATCTAAGGTTACATTACCAGAGGGGATGGTGGAGGCTGCGGAAGTGGCATAGGCGGAATCGGAGGGGATGGTGGAAGAAACTGAGGTACCCGTGGATAAAATGGGAATCGATATGACAGCCACTATGGAAATAAAAAAGTATCAGTAACAAAATGTCTGAATCTATTTTAAAACTAAGACATTCAATTCTGAACATTAACAATAAGCAGAAGGTTTACCTCTCTACTAGAACTTCCATCACTGTCATCCAGCTGTGGAAAACCAAAGGAAATATCATGATGTCTGACATTTGTATAGAGCACCTTTCATCCAGTTAATAAAAAGCTTCATGAAGTGCATCCATGTAGATTTAATTAAAGTCGCACACATTGCAGAGTAGTTATATACACTTTTTTTTGTATGGTGCTTCCTAAGTTTGCCGTGGAGTCTTCTATAGTTGTGATGACAGGAGGGACGGGCGTCAATGCTGTCTAGGAATATTTTGGACCAACTTTTACTACTTGGTTGCCTGGGATTGCAAGGGGCTAGACTATGATCTGGGTGGCTTCTTCCTGTTTTACGTTCCTAGATATTCTCTAACAAATGAGCAACATTTCTAAAAAGTAATTTATCATTCTTCCATGGAATTCACCCTTGTGTGCGTGTGTGTGTGTGTGTGTGTGTGTATATATATATATATATATATATATAGAGAGAGAGAGAGAGAGAGAGAGAAAACTTCCTTGTAACACGTATAATTTATATAAGGTTCAAACGCTGCTGACGACTTACATGGGTGTAACAGAAGGGGCAGCAGGGTAGCCGTGATAGCCCTTGCCACCTCCTCTACTGTGCCAAGCTTCGGACTTGCACCCTCCTATTCTCACCCACCATGACTTTGATATGTGTTTTTATAGGGAGGCTACCTCTCCTCCACTTGGCCACAGTTCTCCTGCTCCGGGTGTCCTGCGTATCTAAGCCTTGCGGGCATTCCCTGTACGCCACCCTTCTCACCGGGGCTTCTCCATAATGCTGCCCTTCTCACTGGGGCTCTCCACACCCTCACCGGGGCTTCTCCATAATGCTGCCCCTCTCCTGGGGTCCGAAATGCTGCCCTGCTTACTGGGGCCCTCCACCCCCTCACCGGGGCTTCTCCATAATGCTGCCCCTCTTCTGGGGCTCTCCGCACCCTCACCAGGCTCTTCCCTCTGCAGGGCTGCCCTCTCACCAGGCTCTGCACCACCGAACTCTGTGCCCTCACTGGGGTCCTCACTCTACTGTGAGTCCCCTATGAGGCCTCTTCCATCCCCTTATAGCCTCACCCAAACCACCAATGTTAAACAAACTGCAACATAAACTCGAGCCTCTTGGCTACAACTTAAACATAAGCCACCTGGCTGCCACGACATTGCTCAGACATCTTGGAGCTGCTACCCTTTACTCTGCTAGCGGTACCTGCAGTCAGGCTTCTCCTCGCATGATTGCTCCAGCAGTCAGTCAGCCTCTCCCTCTCCCTCTCCCTCTCCCTCTCCCTCTCCCTCAGATGCCGGCAGAGAACTGCCTCTAACCTCAGCTCCCTCCCCATAACAGCCAGGCCTTGTCCCTTATAGCCAGCTGACCACTGGCAGGTGTGGGTCATTTGCTGCCTCCTGTTGCCCTGGCAACCAGCACTTGAGGAGTCTTCCGGGCTCTCTCAGTAGCAGGCACCTTAGTGTCCTGCTACAATGGGGATTAATTACAGGTGTATACTGCTCTATTTGCTTGTTATCTAGAAACAGAAGAGGGAACAGGAATAACAGAATATGCCAATTTTTACTTTGTATTATTCAGACAAATTATTTTAAGAAGGTCTGTCAATAATAAGTAGCAACTTGTTAGTTCCAGTGTTTATTCAGTATTTTGTTCAGTACTTACAGGTACTGGGACAGCAATGGCAATACTCAGAACACAGGAGAAGAACAGAAGTTTCATTTTGGTGAAGAACCCTATGAAAACAAAGATGGGAAGCTAACAGTTTTTACTTTTTAGTTTTGGAGAAAGGAGAGGGATATAATAAAGGTATATAATGATAGTGCTGTGAGCAGGGCACCAGAGAGGGGAGCCAGGCAGTGGTTTTATTTATGCACTCCTGTAGCTTGATTCCACCCTCTGTGATTTCCTATATAACCTTGGGCAAGTCACTTAATCTCTGTCCTAGAGTTTACCCATCTCTAGAGTGAAGCTAACACATGCTTACCTGTGTGAAATGCTCTGTGATTTAAAAGTGCAAGGAGCTATGTAAAAGTTAAATATTATTACAATGCATTTAACTATAGAGGTAACTTAGATCCTGTCCAGACCACTAATTAAACTGCATTAAAATGCATTTCCCCAGGAACAACTAGCAGAAGCATGTATTTGTGCTGCTGCTAGTTGTCCCTGCGGAATGCCACTGCAAGCATGTTCTAGTGCAGGGCAAATTGCCCCAGATGAGGTAGGGGAGGCAGGGGCCCATTCCTGGGCTGGCCTCAGCAGCCTTACCTGGGGTCCTGGGGGCCTCCCAGAGCTATAGCAGCAGTGATCTTGGCATGTGGAGCCTGGCCTGCAATTACAGCGTGACTCTGGCCAGCCAGGCTCCAGTTTTGTGTGACACATAACTGCTGCCTCATATGCTGTACCACTTTTTTTTAACGCCTTTTCTTTTATAACAGGATTTTCCAGTATCTAAATTTGTCTCCACGCTGCAAATATGCAGTGCAGAAAACCAAAGCACATGCACAGGGTGCATTTTGTGGTACCTCTAAAGCCTTTGAGGTGCTGCAAAGTGCACATGCATGTGTGTGGACTTGCCCACAGAATCCCTTCCTGGTGGCACATAGCCCCTTCAGGATCAGCATGTAAATTCAGATGTAAGGTCTGATCCAGTGCTTTCTGAAACCTTCCCCAACCACATATTCTGTATCCTCTGAATTTCCCTCAGTATTGTAGCAGTAATTCCTTCAAACAACTCCATATTAGTTAATCAAATGTCACTATTTCAGACAATTGGCCCCAAATCTAGATTTATTCCCCCTCTATAGTTTAATTGGCTTCTTTTTTAACCTTTCCTGAATAATGGAGCTTTATATAAATACCACCTTCCAATACATTTCAATATGCCCCAAATGTCAACATGCCAACTGCTTTCTTTTCTTGAGTCCCTTGTTACACATGAATGGGTGATACACAGATCTACTTCATCTGCTTTGTGAGGAACAGAGATGTCTTGTGTATGGCAAATAACGGGCACAACTCCTTCAATACTTTAAACACTGGAAATAAGAATAAGAACTAGATCTATGTTTTTCAAAAGTAACTTTTGGACACCACAAACTTTGGCCTTTTACCTTTGGCCTTTTACCTAAAAAGTCCTTGTTTTCAAAGGGTGGGCTCTTAAAAGTTTCTGAAGTTTGGCACCCAAAAATTGAGGCCCTCAAATTAACTAGTCTTTTTTTTGTGTAAACTTTAGCTAACATAACTAGGCAGGTGCTCATAGTCAAATTAAATCTCTCTTACCATTGATGAGCTTGCCTAAACTTGTCAGCTGAACTGGATATTTATATTTCAGTTATGGGATGGCAGGCCCTCTTTTACTCCTCTCTGACTACCAGGGCATGAAGGTCTCATACACAGGTTGTGAAGCCCTGTAATTTTGTCAAACATTCTTCACCTGCTGTTTCACCTGTGTTTTAGAAAAAACTTATATTTTAATGAGAGATCTTCTGCAATTTATTTCCCATGCTATTGTTCCCCTCTTCCTTCTGATACATTTAAAATTTTGCTATCCTTATCTCTTTTTCTTTAATGCCCGCTGAAGTTATTTTGAGTTATTCTGTTGACTCTGTTGGAATTATAATATGCTTCTTTCATTTTAAAATGCCTTCTGTTTGTTTTACACTCCTATTTATATATCTCTACCATACAATTATAGTCTCATAATTATTTCAGTTCTTCCAAAATTATACTATAATAATTGCATTACCTTTCCTTTGCACAGTGATCAGCTGAACAGTGCAATAGCCAAGAAATCAGCTTGCTCATGTGAAGTCTGTGTGTGAATTGCTGGTGTTTAAATACTGTTTCTAGTTCCATAGATTTAATCAGAAAACCACAAGTAATTACGAATGACAAATTCTTAATACCAGTGGACAAATTATGTCATTCTTTTTAACCGATAAGTCCAAAGAAATCCCAGGGACTAGCACTGGATCATGCTAAAGTATTGGCAAACAAAATGCATATGGATATATTTATGGGGAGTATGGGATATATTTATAGGGAGTATGTTATATGCCCTGACTACAGGTACTGTGCTGACTGCTAGACTATAATATTCTATGCTATAAATACAGTTATGGAAATATGTGTATTTGTATTGTGAGGTTTAAAATACTAATTCGACACTAAAGTAATAATTCCCTCTCAGACAACAGACAAGGTTCCTTGGGTGAATTTGATATCTTTTATTAGACCAACCCAAATGGTTGGAGAATAGTTATTAAGCAAGCTTTCGGCTTCAAAAACCCTTCGTCAGGCTCAGGAAGCTGCAGCAGTTGGTGTGTGCTCTTCCTGGATGGAATGAAAAGTAAAGAAGCCAGGGGCTGGGCTGGGGAGTCAGTTGCCAGGCAGATTATAATGTATCAAAAATCCAATGTCTATGTTTAGTCCCTGATCTCTAGTATCCAGCAGGTTGATGAAATGGAGCTCATAGGCTCGTCTCTGGGATGTGTTGTGTAAATTTCCCTTGAGGATCAGGACTGAGAGATTGGAGAGAGAGTGGCCCTTCTGTGACAAATGTGCCCCCACCGGTAACTGGGTATTTCTGTCTTTGATGGATTTCCAGTGTGCATTCATTCTGGTACGCAGTTGTTGTCTGGTCTCTCCTACATATCTTCCATCAGGGCATTTGGTGCATTGGATGAGGTATACTACATTCCTGGAGGTGCAGCTGTAAGATCCTGGGATGCTGATGGCTCTGTTGTGGGGTGTAGTAATAGTGGGGGTGGTGGAGATGTGGGGGCAGGTTTTGCATTTCTTGTCATGGCACGGTCTGGATCCTTTTGGTGTGTTCTGGGGTTGAGGAAGTTTGCTTCTGGTGATTAGGTTGGCGAGGTTCAGTGCTTGTCTGAAGGCTAGGATGGGTGGCTCTGGGAAGATCTTTTTAAGA